GGCAATGCAGTCGGTCTGGAAGGGGATGGACTGGATGCTCTGCAGGGTTGGGGGGTCCAGCTTGGCTGCAGGAAGGGCAGGGGAGAGTTGGAGAGGTGTGTGGTGGGTAATGCTCAGAGCCATGACCTCATGTGTGCCTGTTGTTAGTGCCAGGAGCTGCAGCCAGGGATGAAATGGGGGAAGAAATGGGCAAGAAATGGGGGAAACCACCCCAAAACATTTAGGAGAATGGCTGGTGGCAAGGTACAGGAGCTGGTGTGTGCCCCTGCTTGGGATGGAGTAATGCAACACTGGAACAGCTCTTCATTAATGCCTATGCAGAGAAAACAGATTCCATGGGGCCTGCTGCCTCGAACATCCCACATTTGGGTCTGCTTGGGGGTGAGAGTGTGGCACAGCCAGGGGAGAGCTCAGCTGGTTCCTGGGCAGCCCTTCCCCAGCCCCGGATCCGGGCGGATAAATCTCTCCATCTGGGAAGGCTCCTTTTATAAATAGTTTATAGGCACAGGATCCATTATTAATAGAGCTGCTGAATAAATGGGTAATCAATTGCTGCAGGAGCTGTGGAGTGCAGCAGGTCAACTGGCAGCTCATAACCTGGTGTGTGCTGCTCGCTCTGCAGTGCTGGCACCGATTCATCCCACCAGGACATTCATCACAGAACCTGCCCATAAAATGGGCCCCACGTGCTTTAATGTCACTTTAACACCCCTGACGAGCTTCCCTGGCCCCTGACCTGTGTGCTGTCACTCACCCACGTCCATGGGGTCGATGAGGAGGTGCTCAGACTCGGCGGTGCCCAGGGCGTTGGTGGCAGACACCCAGATCTCCATCTGCCGGTACAGCTGCAGCAGCCGGCGTGGCACCGTGCAGTGGCTGTGCCCTCCTCGTGGGGTGCAGCCTGTCACTGCCTGGGCTCTGCTCCTGCAGCAGACAGGGCACTGGGCTCAAGGTCCTTGCTGTGGGGTTTGGCAGGGGATAATAGTCCCAGGACTTACCCCATGCATTTCAGCACGAAGCTGGTGGGGAGGTGGCTGTTGGTTCCCTGCTGCCATTGGCACGTCAGCCCGTAGTCATCGAGGTTCAGGACACAGCTGAGGTTGAGGGGCTTTGCAGGAGGATCTGGAGGAGAAAGAGCCTGAGCAAGTGCCCGTCCCTGCTGGGAAGGAGGGTGACCCGTGGGGGCAGCAGACTTACAGCCTGCCCTGATCTCGGCCATGCCAACACGCTGCTTGGTCCCATTCCACTCCACACAGCAGAACAGCCTGGCCTGGGTGTGGTTGAAGCGGGGCAGGGTGAGGTTGGACACCTCTGTGCCCCCCGGGCCCTGGCGCTGGCTCCCAGCCACAGGCTTGTTGTCCAGCATCCAGCTGATCCGGACCCTGCCCTGCTCCAAGCCCTGGCAGAGCTCCCTCTGGACGGTGCAGGATGCCGTGACAGCCGAGCCCAGGGGCACAATGGGGGGGCTCACAGTCACCGAGGCGCAGCCCAGTGTCCCTGCGGGCAGGAAAATCCTGTCACATCCTGGGCACAGCTGTGCCAAAGCCACCTCAGCTCCTCAGCGCCCAGGGAGGACACAGGGACGAGTCTCTTCCCTTAGATGGGCCCCCCACTCTGGAGAGGAAGAGCCGAGCGTTGGGCAAGGCACGGGCACGTGCCAGGCCCCATCCTGCCCGTGCTCGCCGTTCGTGCCTGCCCCGGGGGGCACCGGCTGCTGGGGATGCTGTGCCCGTGGCACGGGACAGGATGGAGCCCGCACTCACCGCCCAGGTGGAGCAGCAGGAGCAGGGAGAGCTGCCGCAGGAAGGGTGTCCCAGCACCGCGCCTGGCCATGGTCTCCTCCGTGGCTTTGGCATCACCTGGAGCGGAGAAAGCGCCTTGTCCTGGGGGTCGGCAAGGGCTGGGGACGAGGTGGGCTGAAGGAGACGGGCTCCATTGTCAGCGGCTCTTCCTGGAGCAGAATGTCCTTTCGCTGTCAGCGTCAGCCCTTCCCGCAGCCCTTCTGACACCTCCGCCCCCGG